AGAGAGAGCTACATGTAACACTATACAGAGAGCTACATGTAACACTATACAGAGAGAGCTACATTATACAGAGAGCTACATGTAACACTATACAGAGAGAGCTACACTATACAAAGAGAGCTACAGGTTACACTATACAGAGAGAGCTACATGTAACACTATACAGAGAGAGCTACACTATACAGAGAGAGCTACATGTAACACTATACAAAGAGAGCTACACTATACAGAGAGCTACATGTAACACTATACAGAGAGAGCTACATTATACAGAGAGCTACATGTAACACTATACAGAGAGAGCTACAGGTAACACTATACAGAGACAGCTACACTATACAGAGAGAGCTACATGTAACACTATACAGAGAGCTAAAGGTAACACTATACAGAGAGAGCTACATGTAACACTATACAGAGAGCTACACTATACAGAGAGAGCTACATGTAACACTATACAGAGAGCTACACTATACAGAGAGCTACATGTAACACTATACAGAGAGAGCTACACTATACAGAGAGAGCTACACTATACAGAGAGAGCTACATGTAACACTATACAGAGACAGCTACACTATACAGAGACATCTACACTATACAGAGAGAGCTACATGTAACACTATACAGAGAGAGCTACACTATACAGAGAGCTACACTATACAGAGAGAGCTACAGGTAACACTATACAGAGACAGATACACTATACAGAGAGCTACAGGTAACACTATACAGAGAGAGCTACATGTAACACTATACAGAGAGAGCTACACTATACAGAGAGAGCTACACTATACAGAGAGCTACATGTAACACTATACAGAGAGAGCTACATGTAACACTATACAGAGAGAGCTGCACTATACAGAGAGAGCTACACTATACAGAGAGCTACATGTAACACTATACAGAGAGAGCTACATGTAACACTATACAGAGAGCTACATGTAACACTATACAGAGAGAGCTACACTATACAGAGAGCTACATGTAACACTATACAGAGAGCTTCACTATACAGAGAGCTACAGGTAACACTATACAGAGAGAGCTGCACTATACAGAGAGCTACAGGTAACACTATACAGAGAGTGCTACACTATACAGAGAGCTAACGGTAACACTATACAGAGAGCTAACGGTAACACTATACAGAGAGCTACACTATACAGAGAGCTACAGGTAACACTATACAGAGAGAGCTACACTATACAGAGAGCTACAGGTAACACTATACAGAGAGCTACACTATACAGAGAGCTACATGTAACACTATACAGAGAGCTACACTATACAGAGAGCTACAGGTAACACTATACAGAGAGCTACACTATACAGAGAGAGCTACAGGTAACACTATACAGAGAGCTACATTTAACACTATACAGAGAGCTTCACTATACAGAGAGCTACAGGTAACACTATACAGAGAGAGCTGCACTATACAGAGAGCTACAGGTAACACTATACAGAGAGTGCTACACTATACAGAGAGCTAACGGTAACACTATACAGAGAGCTACATGTAACACTATACAGAGAGCTACACTATACAGAGAGAGCTACAGGTAACACTATACAGAGAGAGCTACACTATACAGAGAGCTACAGGTAACACTATACAGAGAGCTACACTATACAGAGAGAGCTACATGTAACACTATACAGAGAGCTACACTATACAGAGAGAGCTACAGGTAACACTATACAGAGAGCTACACTATACAGAGAGCTAAAGGTAACACTATACAGAGAGCTACACTATACAGAGAGAGCTACATGTAACACTATACAGAGAGAGCTACACTATACAGAGAGCTACATGTAACACTATACAGAGAGAGCTACATGTAACACTATACAGAGAGCTACATGTAACACTATACAGAGAGAGCTACATGTAACACTATACAGAGAGCTACACTATACAGAGAGCTACATGTAACACTATACAGAGAGCTACACTATACAGAGAGCTACAGGTAACACTATACAGAGAGAGCTGCACTATACAGAGAGCTACAGGTAACACTATACAGAGAGTGCTACACTATACAGAGAGCTAACGGTAACACTATACAGAGAGCTAACGGTAACACTATACAGAGAGCTACACTATACAGAGAGCTACAGGTAACACTATACAGAGAGAGCTACACTATACAGAGAGCTACAGGTAACACTATACAGAGAGCTACACTATACAGAGAGCTACATGTAACACTATACAGAGAGCTACACTATACAGAGAGCTACAGGTAACACTATACAGAGAGCTACACTATACAGAGAGAGCTACAGGTAACACTATACAGAGAGCTACATTATACAGAGAGAGCTACAGGTAACACTATACAGAGAGAGCTAACAGTAACACTATACAGAGAGCTACATGTAACACTATACAGAGAGCTACACTATACAGAGAGCTACAGGTAACACTATACAGAGAGAGCTGCACTATACAGAGAGCTACAGGTAACACTATACAGAGAGTGCTACACTATACAGAGAGCTAACGGTAACACTATACAGAGAGCTACATGTAACACTATACAGAGAGCTACACTATACTGAGAGAGCTACAGGTAACACTATACAGAGAGCTACAGGTAACACTATACAGAGAGAGCTACACTATACAGAGAGCTACAGGTAACACTATACAGAGAGCTACACTATACAGAGA